TCACTGTATATTGATTGGATCCTCCGGCTTCTCTCTCTTTTAGAAAAGGAAAATATGATATAACCTAATGGTATCTGAATCTGGTCTTCCCACTAAACCACGTTTACAAGCAGTTTACATGGAGCACCACACTGGGAGGCAATGAAGATCTGGAATTATTTCTACTATTTTCCTGGGACTCAGGATGTTGGTCAGCTCCACATGGAGGGGCAGGAGGCAAATGCATTGAGAAAACCAGGCCGATAGCTTCTTTTGCAGATATGGAGGACAGGGCTGTGGAGAGGGAGTAGCCAGGTCTCTGTCACCTCCTGAGGTTCTGTGGCGAGGATGCTCCTGTCTTCAAGTCTCAGGCAGCCTGCTCTGTGTGTGTGTGTGCACAGCTTCCCAAGTCTGTGACATCACTGAGAGTCAAAGGAGCAGTACTGGCTGACCTTTGAGTGTGCAGTGAAGCTATACAGAATCTCTGAGAGAGAAATGGATTTTTTAATTCATTGGCTTTGAAGACTCCATCTGCTACCTGCCCTGGCAAGGTCAGAGTATGTTGGATGCAGCCCCAAGCGGGCTGCCGGATCTCTCTCTAGCTCAGATTTCAGTGCTCACCTGGGTCCTCAGCCCCAATATGTGACGAGCTTCAGTCAGGCCAGCCCCCCTTCATATTAAAGCCTCAGTCTCCATATTTTCTCTTTTCCATTTCTTTCTCTCTTTCATTCAGGCACACATGTTTATGCGTGCACACACACACACATCCGGATTCAATTACTGTTTTTGTTTTAAAGCAGATGTTGAAAAGGTTCTTAGCAACTTATCTTTAAGATCAAGGAAGAAAGGGAAAGGAAGTGAACTTAAAATACATGTATCTATGTCCAGATGAGTCAAAAACAACCCCTTTTCCCCAGTGAAGGTGCTGGGTCTCCAGGGTGTGGGGGATGGGGAATTTCCAGTATTTCCTTTTATCCTCCATGGCAACATTATAAATGATATTTCTTTGTGTGACAGAATGAGGACACTTAGCAGTCTCTATGAACATGGATAGTAACGATTGTAACTGAGACCTTGGCTGAACATTTAATGCGTACCAGCCGTGCAGCTTCACCTGTATTAGTCTGTCTAATCCTTCAGCCACCCTGTGAAAGAGGCACTATTATGGCCACTTAAAGATGAGAAAACCAAGATTCCAAAAGGAAAAAGTAAACAGCTTTGAATGCCAATCAAGATTGGAATCTACATGCAGCCAGTTCTAAAGTGGGTGCTTCTACCCGCCCTGCCTAAGGCCTCTTCTGTCCTCACAGCTGCTAGCAAAGCAGCACTGACTCTTCTGATACTGGTTTTCACCTCATCTGATACCACTGTGCCCAGTTCTACTAGCTACCTGTTTATTTTATTTAAAAAATTTTTAATATATTTTTACATCATTTTTCATTTTTGCACAATGTATGCATTTTCATCTTGGTTCTATTCCCCATACAATTCCCACCCCCCTTATTTTAACCCTAATCCTTCCTTCCCTCCCCACCCCCGCCCCCACAGTCTGTCTCTGGTTTATAGTTGCTTGTTGATTTTGATTTTTACTTTATTATAATTCATCTTTTTCCTGGTCCCTTATTTAGGTTTTCTCTCATGCAATTTGCAGCAACATGGATGGAGCTGGAAGGGATCATGCTCAATGAAATAAGCCAGAAAGAAAAAGAAAAATACCGGTGGTCTCACTCATAGTTACCTGTTTAAAAGGGAAAATACCACTTTCTTTCTCAGGATGGAGCACAAGTCCTCGGGGACTTCCAAGAGACAGGAAGGACTAAAGGGCAGGGAAGCCTCCCTTGATTTACCTTTGATATAAGGGGTGCAGGCATTTCATTCCTTAGTTCTGCCACAATATGTGAGAAATGACCATTGTATTAGCCAAAGTACTTCTCACTGCTGTAACAAATGGCTCCCAAGTTCCAGTGGTTAAACCCTACAAACATTTATTTCTCACTTACATAATGGTCAAACACAGATTTGCAAAAAGCCAAGCATTCAGGGCTTAAGCAATAGCTCCTAGATGACCAAAGTCACCTGGCACTTTTTACACTTTCTGTGTGTGACGTGCATGAGCTGCCACTTGGGGTTCATCAGTCATTGAGAAAGATCTGCTTTGCTAGTACACCAAGTCAGGGTCATGTCTAGCTCCATACTGCACCCCCAGTCCTTACTCCTTTTGATACAGAGCAATCTCAGTGAAAAGGGGAGGAGCACTTCAGAGCACTGAATGGGCACCATTTCCCCCCCCCCACTTACATGCCACCACCTTGGATTACAAGTCCCAGCATGCCATGAACTGGACTTCCTGAGTGGGGGGTAACTGGGAAGGAGCAAGGTGGACATACAAAGGGAGGCAGAACAAAGAAGGGGGGACGTATGGGAGGAGACACACAGAGGAGAGATACTAGAGACACTTGGAAAGATACTGGGAGAGACACGTGGGGGAGAGACACGTGGGTGAGAGACTTGTGGGGAGGGTGTTACTGGTCCTTGGTATATTTTGAATTTTGAGTCTCTCCTTCTGTTTCGGTTCTCTAGGAACTGCCTAACTCCTTTCTCGTGGTTCCTTGCTAGAGGGTACTTCAAACTTGTGGCAAGCTTTTGGGCCTAAGTAGCCCTGCTTTGGGTAGAGTCTATTAATTCCACTGGGCATCTGCCCACAAGGGGGTGAGCAATTAGGGGAGTTTTACTGGGTAATTCTTTGGAATCCTTGCTATTCTTGCTATCGCTCTGCACATCAATTCCATTAAAAATCTTTCACATGAAGAGACTGCTTCTTTTGTTTTTGTGCATGTGGATAACTGGACCCCTTTTAGATTGTGTGCCTCTTAATAGTTGGTCCCCCTGAATATCCCTCAGTTGTGTGCTAATACTTCCCCATCTTCTGGATCCTAAGAAGCATTAGTTTTGACACTGCAGATTACAAATAAGATTTGAATGTAGGTGGTTGGAAGCAGTGACTTATAAGGGTTGCAAAATATCTACTAAAACTGTTCTAACTGCCACAGCTAGTGACAGGTTCAGACAATTTAATGAGCCCACAGATGGATTCCTTTGAGAGCTCCACCGAGAGCTGGAGTGGGGTGTAGTTCAGTCAGCCTCAGTCCCCAGCTTCTTCTCAACTGGTTCATAGAGTCTATGGGTCTCCCTTAGGGATTAATTTTGAGTCCAGTGGGGGAAAAAAAAAGAATTGTAGTTTCCATGGCCCAGGGACAGAGATGTCCTTTAGGGACTTGCAAATTCGGAGGCCCTAGGCTCTCGTTGAATGCAACTGGAGGCCCTGAAACAGAATCAGTTCAAAAGTCAGCTCTGCTCTTCTTCCTGCACCATCTCCAACAAAGGAAGACAGTCTCTTTGTCCCCAGGCCCAGGTGTGGGGTCGCCCTGCCTCTCCACAGCTGCCTGCGTGTTTACTTTAACCAGACCCACTCAACTGTCACTGGCAACAGAACCCCATGGGGCGAGGTGCTGATCTTGGCCTCTCAGGATGGCTTTGCAGGGGACAGAGCTGCCTCCATTGGGAGGGTAGGAGGAAAGTTCTCTGCCTTGAAGCCAAGTTCCTGTGTCCTGGCTCCCAGTGCTCAGTCCTCTTCACTTACCAAGAGCAGGACAGGGGAATGCTGCAAGGGCAATCTCATCTAAGCACCACAAACTCCTCCCTCCTTTGTGCCCCAGTAGCACTTGACATGGATGCTAGTGCTATGCTTGCATGCTTAATGGCTGCCATCTTCCATCTTTCTTATGTTCTGTGCATTCTTCAAAGGAAAGGATAGTTTTTAATTTACATCTATATTTTCTGTCCTGAATATGGCATTTGACTCTTAGAAATGTGCTTAGTGAATGCAATTTCTTTTTGAGAGAATGAGTTAATAAACTGATAAGGGAGTGAGTTATAGAGCAAAGATGACTATGACAAGTCAACAATGAGCAGTGAGTGAATGGGTGAAGGTATGAGAAGTAGCATGAAGGCCTGTTGCCTCCAGGAATCCACGCTCTTCCTCCCTTTTGGTTTTGAGTTGGGCATGTTTCCACCCAATAAAAAGAATACATTTCCCACACATGTCTGTGTGACTAAGTTCTGTGATAAGTTAAATGGAAATAGCCAGAAAAAACCCTTTCAAAAACAATGTGGATGCTTTTGTCTCTTGTCTCCTCTCTCCTGTCTCGGCCTGGCACATACATGACACTTGGTACTTGGCAGCATATTGTACAATGAGGCAGCCTCAGAAAAATAAATGAAAGCCACAGGGGTCAGTGAAGCAGAAAAAGAGAAGTCTAGAACTCTATTGGTCACAGAGTCACTAGAACACTCTAGACTGTCTTCCTCTAGACCCTTTTTATGCAGGGGGAAATTAGTTTCACTTTTGTTATAGGAAACATCTGAGACGTCGGCAGCACGAAACAGGGTGAGGACAATGGTGCTCGTTCCGAGGCCGCAGAGATGCTTCTACCTCTTTTAGGGACACATCCTATAACCATTTCACTTATTGTTTGTGTTTTAGTGATTTTTAAAAATTTTTTAACATATGGTTGGATCTGCTACTAATCAGCTTGCCCAGAATCACAGGTCACCACTAGAACCTGGATCTGGGCCTTCTGGATCCCAGTCTTGAGCTCTTTGTGACACCAGGCACATGTCCTGTGGCGGCTGAAACCGCCACTCACCCACATACTGCAGGTGCTCCCCAAGTGTCAACTCAAAGCCCCAACACAAAAGTAGAGAATCCTGATCTCTTAAAAAGATAATGGAAGTGAGGGCTGATTCCTGATTAACGTTTAAAGCCTACTGCATTGGGGGAAGCACAGATTCAAATTCAGATTAAATACTATTCCTGATGGTCCCCCAGGGAATATAGTGAAGGGAAACTGCCCAAGACCACAGATCCTGGTACACTCACATTTTTGGTGGCTCCTGCATTTTAACAACAAAGCATTTATCTTTTCTCAAAATAGAGCATGTGGGAGACAGACGGGTCTTACCTCCACCAGCGAGTGCCAGTGCGCAATGGGCTTCCGAGGGTACGACAGCATTTCACTCCAGTGGTCTCTGCCCAGCCTCTCAGCCTCGTTGCCGACTTGACAGACACCGATGATCTCGTTGTGACCTACACTGTGAAAATGGCCCACAAAAGTTTTTTCTTAAAATTTTGGTACATAAGGGCAACAGCTGGTCAAGTATACTGATAGAGGAATTAGGGAGGGGGTGGTTTTCTTCATTTCTTAATTTAAATCTCTATACCAAGCGCACTAGTGAAAGGATGTGTGATGCATTCTACTGGGTGTGAAAGAGGAAGAGCAGCGTCTGCGCCTCACACATCATGGTCATGTCTTTCCTAACGCTGGCATGGGTTAGTGTGTGCCTAAGAACCCTATTTTCAAAGAACTCCCTGGTGCTAGCTCTGGTTCTGGAACAAGGCTGACCTCCGGGTCTCCAAATTCATGGAACAAAAAGGGGCCCAGTTGAAAGGCATTTCTGGCAATATGGCTGCTCAAATTCCTGCAGCAGGAAACCAGGCTGAGAAGAGACTCTCTTTCTGGCAGCTTCCAAAGGCAACAGAGCACGCGAGGGCTCGTAGGACTTTTCCCGTCCCCTTTCTTTGGACACCATGTTTTCTTATGCTCTTCCCTCCTTCCCAAGCCCAGCTATATTTTTTTGACCAAACTTGATTTCCTTTTTTTTTCTTTTAAGATTTATTTATTTATTTATACAAGCACTGGGTACAGTCAGAAGCTCAGGGTGAGAGAATTCACCAGAGCCAGAGTGGGGAGCAGAACAGGCAGAAGGACCGAAGTACACTGCTGAGGGGAGCAGCGGGCGGCAGTAGAGGTCTGCGTCCATGTGGGACCCTCACCTAGTGGCCAGGGATTGAACCGGTGCTGCAGAGGCTGCAGGCAGCTTCGCAACCCAGCGCTCAACCACTGCGCCACTGGGGAGGCCCCAAACTTGATTTTCTTACTGGCCAGAAACATAACTCCTTTTACTTTAGGGCCAATATTTCTGAAACATTCCCCAGGTCTGTCCATATTTTTCCTCTCTTAGCCATTTTGGATCAGAAGTTCTTTGCATAACTAGAATGATACATTTATTGTTTAACTCTTTGGAACCCAAACTCACAGACTTTCTCTTTGTTTTTTTGTTTTTCCCCAGCAAAGATGAGTGCTTTTCTCCTGATGGTGTGCACAGAGGAAGGGAGAGACAAGGCTGGGGAAGTAGTGTGAAAGATATTTGAGTCTATGCTCATTAAAATCAGTCTCATGCAGAAACCCCATGAATTCTGCCATGGATTTTTCCAGGCCAGATTCATGAGTTTACTGAGAATTAAATTGAAGCAGTGCTCACATAATCAGATTTGTTGATGCGGGAAACTTGGCAAGAGCTGAAAAATGCTAGCTTACCCATCCACGGTTGGTGGGCTCGTCCCCTCCTGTGTCCTGACCCAGTGGGTGTTGTGTGCCATCCAGAGGAGACAGGATGAGGTCTGCTGCCCAGGTGGGCTGGTGCACCAGGGGCAGCTGCACCAGCCCACAGGCTCCCTGGGTGGAAGATGTTTATGCTTCACCTGGGCATGTGCTGGGAAGTGAGCTCAGAGCACCGTGGCTGCCTTACTGACATCTCAGAGGTAGGCAGGAAAATTTTGAGCTACAAATAATATTTGTAAGATTATCTTAGAAGTCAGAATGATTTTTTTTTTATAATTGTGCCCAGACCACGTGGGAGGTTTCCAATTAAAAAGAGACTTTGCATTTCGGTCTAATGACTGGTTTAACATGTATAATTCCCTGTTGGTACTTCCTTTGCATATTAAAATGACTGTTTTTCAAATCTGTCCTTTAAATACACAATTGGCTACAATGCAGGCTATAAATATCTCTTCTGTGCTGTATTAATTAGAAAGTCGAGCATCTTATACATTTTAATGTACCCTGTCATCCATACTGATTCTAACATTTTCAAGAGAACATTTCTGTGTTTGCTTTCAGACTTAAGTGGATGGAAATGATCTGTATTAAACACATTGGGGAGAAGAAAAAAAAAGAACAAAATTATGTATTTAGAAATGTTGACGGTCTGGCTAACGTAACTATTCTGCTGTTTTGATTGGAATCTTCCCCAGGAAGGCAGGAAGGACTGCCTGAGAGATTAAGACTCACAGGGCTGCAGTTCTCCAAGCTGAGATTCTAGGGTGTGTGCAGGGATGAAGAGGAGAAAAGGTGTGGAGGGGGAAGGAGAGGTTGGAGGAGAATAAAATAGTAAAGGGGCAGGGAAGAATAGGAGAGCCAGCCAAGAGGCACTTTGCTAATCCTACTCCACAGCATGGTTTGGAGAACAGTGGCACCTTGTCCGTCTTCTTCCCTGTGCCTAGGCCTGGGACACCAGCTAAGCACTGTGGTGGCCTCCCCGACGCTCTCCCCCTCCCCCCGCCACCCCTGCCACCGCCCGGCACGGCGCTCAGTAGACTTGCACTGAGAAAGCTCTGGGCATCTCACCGGTCATAGTCCATGACTGCTATGGACAGATGGATTTGGTCGATGCTCTCAGGAGGGACATCAAAGACTATGGCTTCGTTGTAAACAGGATTCAGAGTGTTCCTCTTGGTGGACGTTTTCCTCTTCTTCAGTCGCCTGCCATCACACATCAGTGAGACTTTCACGTAGGGATCTGCAGACACGAGAAACAGCACAAGCGTGAGGTAATGTCGATTTAGGCCAGCAGCTTGTCATTGCGGAGTTTCAGGGACGATGCCGTACAAAACTCCTTGACCTGCCTCTTGGACTGGGGTTTTAGAATTTTAATTAATATGATGCCTGGACAGTGATTAGAATTAGGATAATTAAGTCATTTATTCAAGAAAGAGCACAGGACATTGTCTCCTCAAAAAGCGTGGAATTTAAAAATAGTGTTACCAAATCACACAGTGTTCCGGAATTCAAGACTTGCTGAGCTGCAACAGAGAGAGAAGTGCAAAGGCATTTCGAAGGCATATGGAAGCTGGATGTGGGCCCCTTACAGAGCCACCCCCAGGATCTTTTCCTAAAGATCAGGGCTTTAGGAAAGGGAGAAGCTGAATTCCTAGAGGACAGGAGGGGCTTTGGGAGTGGATTTCTTTAAGTGCCAGGGCTTTGAGGCCTCATAGCTGCCTACTGGGGTGGACGTAGTCTGGCATGTTAGGGAGACAAGGGACACAGGCTTTCTGGTGGTGCCACACTGGGATGGGGTGACAGGTGATAAGGCTGGGCTCTGCCTCAGGTGGGACTTTGCTCACTCTGCTCGTGCTCAGTGGGAATTCTCCTTCTCTCTTGACTGCATAAGCATGTGCTGCCATAGTCCCCACCATCCAAGAGGGTTTTAGAGATAAGAAGGGAGTCACATCTTTTTCCTGCTTAGGAAGACAATGGAATACAGGAAGGGGAATTTATTGCATCTGATGTCCTTTGTGCTCAGTGACTGAAGAAGCAGTGATCTGGGTGTTTTATGACCACATTTGGAGAGCACCTACAGAGGCCGTTAGGGAACTTATACAGTAGTAACTACACATCAGGGCATCTTTTCTGGGGTTTTAGAATTTAAGTATACTGCTTGAAACCCTGGAAAAGCCAAACTGCATAGATCTCTGTATTTTATATAAGAATTCCATATACATATAAGAATGTAGGATTGTCTTCAACCTTCAATAAACCTGGGATTGTTTATATCTGGGGAAGACTCAATTAGATAAACTATATGAGTACATGCAAACTGTAGGTCCAGTTCACTACCATGGTGAAGGATGATGACAGCTAACATGTAGCATTTAGGATGAGCCAGGCACTGTTCTTAAGGCTTTATTTGTATTAAATTATTTAATCTTACAATGATTCAATGAAGCAGATACTATAATTAGCCTAATTTCTAGATGGGGAATGTGAAGCCCCGAAAAGTTATGTGACTTGCCCAAAGTGACACATCTTCTAGGTCTAGGATTGGGATTAAACCTATGCAGTCTGGCTCTAAAGTCTATGAGCTTTACTACAATATCAATAGAACCATATGAGGACTTCTGATTTGGATTAATTTCCCACCTGATGCTCCTGTTATATCCATTGCTTTTAAATTCCTTGCTTTTATAATGGTAATGGTCAGCCTGCCAGCCGTTGGAAGATAGCAGAGGGAAAACATCAATTCTCCAAGATCTACATTGTCCTGTTGAGAGAGCATTAGACAGTGTTATCAGCTAGTGCCTGAGGGTAGGCGGCAGTCAGCAGGGGAGGGCAGGATGCTGCTCCTTCTACTCATTTATGAATCCCCAGTATCTCCCCTCTTCACACCAACATGGAGGAGAATAAATTCCTGCACTTTGAAAGCTTCTGTTTTCTACAGAAGCAAAGCCACTCTTTAGATGGTAAGGCTGTGGACGTCGTCCAGGGTTCTGCCACCCTCGATCCAGCCTCTTGCACAACTGAGCTGCTTTACACAGGTCCCCAGAACCGAGAATTTAGTCCCACAACACCCATGAAGTCCCCCATGTGGTTCCACTCACATCCCATCACAACCCACACACAGTCCCCAGTACAAAGCTAAGACAAAGAGGCGCCCTGAGGTCCTATGCAGCCTTACTGACAGACTGAGAGCCTTGGGATCTCCCTAACAGGTCCCCAGACAGCCTGGTGAAGGGCTGTCCACCCCCAGTCCTGCCCACAATCCCTGCACTGGTGTGCAAAGTCCTTCAAATGGTGACCGCCCACATGCATCTTGCCCCCACAGCCACCATGCTTGCCTATGTAGCCCCCCAAGTTCACCACAATACCTCTGTGCATCCCTGCACACCACACCCCATGCACACACCTCTGCACTCCCCAGAGCACTGCACACACCCCATCACAGACAACACGTGCAGACCAGCAAGTGGCTCCCTGGACCCTGGAAACACGACATGGCTTGAACAAGGACTCCGCAGAAGAAGCACCCCCATCACCCGCACAGCCACAGACCTGGACACACCAGACCTGGCCCCACCCAGCCTCGGACAGAGCCCAGCACAGACTCCTGCAGGGAAAGATGGCTGAGGACTCAGCCCCACAGGCCTCCAGTGTCCCTGGTGTCTCACTGGGCTGCAGCTCCTGCCTTCTCTTTGTGTGTCTATCATGAGCCCTCATTTCCCTCTGCCAGGAAGACATCTCAACAGTGTGCAAACATGCAAATAGGTCAGAAGACATGATTTTTTTTTCCGCCTTTTTTAGCCCAGGGAATGTGTAACCAAAGAGGAAAAAACCAAGTTCTTAGTTTCAATTTCTGAAATACCTGAGGTTATGGAGCTGGGTACCTGTATCTAATTAATACAGTTGCATACAGACAATGCTCTGGGGAGACCAGTTCTGCCCTCAACATCCACAGCCTCCCCCGCTTTCTTGATTCTCTAAGGATGCTTCTATTTTTAGAAGCACAAATTCAGCTCTGGAAGGTCACCTCATCCAACCTCCCTGCATTGACCGCTTTGCAGGAGGATGAGGTGAAGGGAATCTGTTTGGTCACTGAGGCCGATGGATTGCTCTGTGTCTTTGCCTATCCCTAACCTCATGTACATAAATCACCTCACCTAGCCCAGACTCTCCTGGTTCCTGGAGCCCTGAACTCAAGAGACCTGGGTGACTGGGCCTTTCCCTCAGTGGAGGAGGTGAGGGAGAAGAAGAGAAATCTGCAGGAGGGTGGCGGCTGCACAGGGAGGGTGCTGAATTGCTTTGTGCTGCTGGGCTCCCTCCCACGAGAGGAGAGTGTCTGCTCTCACTGAAGATGGAGGAGCTGACCCAGCTTCCTGCTTGTGGCAGAAGAGAAAGCAGAGGAACAGCTGTTACCACAATTTATCTTTTCCTTCATACTCCTTTGGCCTGTGGCTGCTCCTGTCTGCCTCAAGCAGAAAATCCCTCATCTTCTCACCACACCTGGCTCCTTCCCTCTTCCTGCCCAGAAAAGTAAAACAGACAGAACCAAACTCAGGCCTACGAAGCTTCATCATCATGAATTCTTCCAGCATACACGTCCTGAGGGCCCACATTGTTCGAGCTCTGAAGGATTCAAGACATGAAGATGCAGGCTGTCTGCTCCCCGTCCTCAAGGTCAAGATGTGTAATGGAGCGCCATGTGTCAGACTGCTTTGTGCTAAGTACGTTTTTTTCCAACAAGTGTTTATATTCTATGGTTGTTTGCTCATGAGTCAAAGAAATAAAATCAAACTTCAGACTTGGCGATATATTCAGAATTGAACGAGGGCTAATTGGAACTAGGCACGTTTGGACTTAAAGAAAAAACCCGACAAATTAAAGAAATAGTGATAAAAGTGAAAATGCTAGGTGTGATTTCCAAATGATTTAAACACATATCATTTTAGATTTTCCAAATTATGAAAGTAAAAATGTTGAAACAATACAAGTGACAAATTTTTAAGTAAAATACCCTTTTCTCATGTATATGCCACCTGTCACTCATTTCTCCAGAGCAACATTGTGACCAATCATCCATATTTTTCTCTTCATCCATCCATCCATCCATCCATCCATCCATCCATCTACCAAACTCACTTATTCATTTAATGTTTTTTTTTAAGATTTATTTATTTTTATACAAGAGCTGGGGTACAGGCCAGAGGCGCGGGAGAGTGAGAGGATTTACCAGAGACAGAGTGGGGAACAGAACAGGCAGAAGGACAGAAATATACTGCTGAGGGGAGCAGCGGGCGAGACAGGAGAAGTCTGCTGTGCCATGTGGGAATTTCCCTGGCTGGCCAGGAATCGAACCCACACTGCAGAGACTGTGGACAGCTTCACAGCGCTGTGCTCAACCCACTGTGCCACCAGGGAGGCCCACATTTAATATTTGTTATAGTTCTTGAGCACTGCTCTTTTCCACATCTCTGCAGTGGTAAACATGAACAGACATAGTTCCTTAAGGAGAGATGAGATTGGTGGAAAATGGAACAGGAGTTTACTGAACGTTGACTCTGCTTTCTCCCCTTCACCTGCTATAGGTCAAGAACCTGCAAATCCTGGTGCTTGTAAACATTCCCATAAACTAATGACTCTCAGGAGCATTTTTGATTCCCCAAAGGAAAACTGACACAATCTAGAGAAATTTTTGATTTTCACAATTAGAGAGGCAGCTGTGTTACTGACATCTAGAGTAGAGGCCAGGATTACTGCTGAACATTCTAAAATGCACATGGCATATCCTCACTATAAAATTATCTGGTTCAAAATATCATAGTGCCAAGGTTGAGAAATTGTGCCTTACACAGAAGTGTTTATTTTACATTGTTAGTAAACATGTTTCCAGAATGTTGATCAAAGTCAACTATAAAAGGAGGCCGAGTCCTGGTGTGATTCTGTCCTGAGAAAATGTTCGCTAGAACAAGTCTCCCTTCTTTTCTACTTAAGGACAGACAGGAGCCCTCAGAACTATCTTTTCATTTGTGAACTAAAGGCTGACAAAGATTATCACTTTAAGACAGGTAATGACGAGAATGAGCACCAGTTTTCTTTAAGAATAACCAGTTTAGGGCCTGGTGCAAAGGATGGACTGTAGACTTGCAGCCGAGGTAATGGATTATGAAGGTAGTCCAATTACAGAAACACAGACAACTTTGAAAATGAACAGCCAACAGTTTCCCTGGGGTTTCTGAAACAGTGCCACCTGTGGTCTTATGGATAAAGTGGGGTTCAGGGCCAGTGTATCGGGCCAGTGTATACTAGTGAACATCACCTAGCAATAGAGGAAGATGCAGTCAGAAGATGAAGAGGTGGAGGAAGTGAAACTATTAAATATACCTGGGAAGTTTTCGACTCTTAGTAGTGGTAGCAAGTTTCCAGAGGAAAAAGTAAAACTTGCTGCTACCAAAGGCAATGATGAAGACAATGAGGTGATGACAATGGTGGTGATCATGGAAATGAATCTGATGATGAAGAAACTGAAGAGGAGGCATCAGTGAGGAAACCTATGAGAGATACTCAAGTCAAAAATGTGCAAAAATCAAAGCACAATGGAAAAGACTCACCATCAATACCAAGATCAAAAGGTCAAGATCTTTCAAAATACAGAAAAAAAACGCTTCCTGAAACTCATAAAGGACCCAATTCTCTAGAAGACATTAAAGCAAAAATGCAAGCAAGTATAGAGAAAGCACAACAAACAATCCTGAGCACAACTGGCAAATGAAGCCAAAAGATGGGGAAAGAAGGAAAGAAGAAACAAAAACAATAATGACTATCTTCAATAATTCAGTCTTCTATTATTTTTTTTAATTTTCTTACATCACTGTTCATTTTTGTGCAATATTTGATTTCTCCCTTCAGGTGTAGTCCCCTTAATTTCCCACCACATTGTAAACCTGCACTACAGCCCTGTGCTCTTCCCTCCCCTTCTATTTTCACCTCAGTCCCCTTTCCTGATTTGCCACCCGCCCACCTACATCCCCTTTCAGACTGAAAACAGTCTCACCCTTGATTTAAGCATTTTCTTTTGATTGCTGTGATTCAGTGAAACCTAAACTTCGCTTTCTATTTCTTGTGCATTTGCCTCACCATGTTTAATCTCCTTTGTCTGTCCCTGACTGCCCTACAAATATTTGGATGAATCTAAAATAAATAAATAAAAAGGTGAGGGATTATTTGATAGGAAGAATTGGATATGTAGAAGTGTCACTGGAGGCTGACTGCCAAACAAAGAAACTCATCTTCAGCTCATGCTTTGTGTAGTCAACTTCAGTATTGTTAGCAAGACAGACTGGGAGTTTACAGCAGGTATGTGTGAATTCTCTTCCTGCAAACCTGTAAACTCTTTCTGTGATATTTGCCTGTAGTATGTGATAGCTGTATTTTTTTGTCTAACTAGTACACTTTTGTGTTCCTCTTCTTGGGTGCTTTTGGTGAACTCCTTCCCAATTCCATGACATTCTAGAAGGGTTGTTGTGAATACTCAGGCTGACCAAATGATTCATGCCTTTGTCCACTGTTGACTGTTCAGAGATGAGTATGTAACACAAACAGTGTCATTTAAAGATCTCCCTGCAGTTGAAAAATTGATATTGAGATAAATTAATAAATTATGATTTTATTGGAGTTATTCACTGATAAGACATGAGACTAGAATTAATGTAAGTTCTTGTTTATGTACAGTACAAGTGGTAAAATATTACTTGGAAGTTAGACTGTGTATGTTAAAGATGTATACTATAAGAAATGCGTAAAACAAAGCTTTCCATAGTGGTTGGGCCAGTTTGCACTCCCACCAGCAGTGTAGAAGAGTTCCTTTTTCTCCACCTTCTCACCAACTTTTGTTGTTGCCTGTTTTTTTAATATGTGCCATTCTCACTGGTGTAAGGTGGTATCTCCTTGTTGTTTTGATTTGCATTTCCCTGATTACAAGTTATGTTAAGCATTTTTTCATATACTTGTTGGCCGTTTGCATTTCCTCTTTGGAGAAGTGTCTTTTTAGCTCTGCTGCCTACTTTTTGACATGATTGTTTATTCTTTTTTGTGTGAGCTCTTTGTAGCTCTTTGTGATCAGTCCCTTATCATTTGTATGGAGTGCAAAAATTTTCTCCCAATCAGTAGGATGTCTCTTTGTTTTGGTTAATGTGTCTTTTGCTGTACAGAAGCTTTTTAGTTTGATGTATTCCCAGCTGTTTATCTTTTCCTTCAATTTCTTTGCTTTGGGGGATGAGTCTTCAAAGATGTTACTGACATGTATGTCATGTTGTGCTTTGCCTATATTTTCTTCTATATATTTTATGTTTCAGGTCTTATGTTCAAGGCTTTTATCCATTTTGAATTGGTTTTTGTGCATGGTGAGAGGTAGCGGTCTAGCTTCATTCTTTTGCATGTGGTGGTCCAGTTTTCCCAGCATCATTTATTAACAGACTGTCCTTGTTTCATTGAATATTTTTTGCTTCTTTGTCAAAGATCAGTTGTCCATATATGTGTGGCTTTATTTCTGGGTTTTCTATTCCATTGATTTGTGTGTCTGTTTTTGTTCCAGTACCACGATTTTAATTATTATGTCTTTAGTACAGTCTGAAGTCTGGGCATGTGATACCTCCTGCCTTCTTTTTAGTCAGGAGAGCTTGTCTTTTTGAGTTTTTTTGTAGCTCCATATGAATTTCATCAATATTTGTTCTATTTCTTTGAAGAATGTCATTGAGATTTTAAAAAATATGGAATTCGTCATGAATTTGTGTGTCATCCTTGAGCAGGGGCCATGCTAATCTTCTCCGCATCATTCCAATGTTAGTATATATGTGCTGCCGAAGTGAGCATGTGAATAAATAAATTTAAATGATCTAAGCATCCAAATAAAAGGGATTGTCTGATTTAGTAATATAGCAAGACCCAATTATAGGCTATCTATAGCAAATCAACATAAATATAAAAACACAAATAGACTAAAACTAAAAGAATTAAAAATCTGAAGTGGCTAATTATCAGACAAAGTGTATGTCAGAATAATGAATATTACCAGTGAGAAAGAGGGTCATTTCATTAAGAAAAATAAGAGCACATAACAATTCTAAATATTTATGTGCCTGATAACACAGCTTCAAAGTAAAGGAAGTAAATACTGAGAAAACTATGAAGATATATAAACAAGTCCTCAATTATAGTCAGAGATTTGAACACTTCAACAACTTTACCACTATGGCTGAAATAGTAGCATTTAAAATAAATAAATAAATATCTGGTTCTCCTACATTCCTGCTATACGTGAAACCATCCAATATTTTTCTTTTTCCTTCTGGTTTATTTCACTGAGCATAATTCCTTCTAGTTCCATCCACGTTGCTGCGAATGGCATGAGTTTATCTTTTTTGATTGCTGAATAATATTCCATTGTGTATATATGCCACATCTTCTTGATCCAGTCATCTATTTTTGGGCATTTGGATTGTTTCCAGGTTTTACCTATTGTAAATAGTGCTGCAATAAACATAGGGGTACAGGTGTTCTTTTGAATCAATGTTTTTGTGTCCTTTGGGTAGATCCCTAGTAGTGGAATTGCCGAGTCATACGGTGCTCCATTTTCAGTAGACTGAGGGACCTCCAGACAGATTTCCATAGTGGTTGGACCAGTCTGCACTGCCACCAGCAATGCAGGAGAGTTCCTTTTTCACCACATCCTCGCCAACATTTGTTGTTGCTTGTTTTTTGATATGTGCCATTCTTACTGGTATAAGGTGGTATCTCAATGTGGTTTTATTTGCATTTCCCTGATGATAAGGGATGTTGAACATTTTTTCATATGCCTGTTGGCCATTTGCATTTCCTCTTTGGAATTCCAATTGACTGGATTGTTTATTTTGTTTTTGTTGAGCTGTGTGAGTTCTTTCTGTATCTTTGTGATCAGTCCCTTATCAGTTGACTGGAGTGCAAAGATTTTTTTCCCAATCAGTGGGGTGTCTCTCTGTTTTGATTAATGTCTTTTTTGCTGTGCAGAAGCTTTTCAACGCAACAAAGCAAAACCAGACAATTATAAATCAGACACATACTGCAAGGGAAGAGGAGGGGGGAGGGCAGGGGACTGAGGTGATGGTACAGGGGTGCATGGTAAAGGAAACTCGATGGGGACTATACCTGAGGTGGTGGGGGGAAGCAAAAAAGATGAAAATGCATGCATTGTGCAAAAATGAAAAATATATAAAATTAAATAAATAAATAAACAAAACAAAATACAAAACAACACTCCTGTTTAACTTAACATTTTCAAGGAACTCCTTTGTTGCTATTATCCAAATAAAATATAAAAATATTAAAAATTAAAAAACTAAAAAATGATGTAAAAAAGAAAAATAATAAAAAAGAAAAATAATAAAAAAGAAACAATTAACAAGAAAAAAATTAAAAACTTTCTATGGAAAAATAAATAAATAACACTTTACCAAATATTAGTAGAACATTCCTTTTGGTATCTAGAACACCTAACAAGATAGACCATGTTTTGGGCCATAAAAGAAATAATTAATAAATTTGAGGAGATTCAAACTATATTTTCTGACTGCAATAGAAATGAATTAGAAATAAATAACAAGAAGATATCTAAAAATCTCCACATATTGGCAACTACATAACATAGCCCTAACTAATTGTTGTATCAAAGAAGAAATCAACAAGAAAATAGAAAGTATTTCAAGCTGAATTAAAAAGTAAACACAGCTTATTGAAATGTGTGGTATGCAGGGAAAGCAGCATCTTGAAGGAAATTTATACCACTAAAATGGATAAAAATAAAACTCCCAAATCAATGATCTCAGTTTTCACTCTAAGAAACCAGGAAAATAAAAATAAATTTAAAGAGTAAGCAGAAGAAAGAAAAAAAAATACAGATTTTTGAACAATAAAGTAACCACGGAAAGAACTAATAAATATATGTAATATAATTAATAGAACTAATGAGCAAGTCATTATCAAAGACAAAATGTAATCACAAAAATTCTCAATCCAAAAAAAAAAGATGAGAAAAAAACCCCAAAATGCAAATGGAACAAATAGATCAATACCATACTGATAATTATACTAAATTTATATACTTAAGCTTTAATTGAAAAGACAGTAGTTGTTAAATTGGTTAACAAAGCAAGACCCAACCATATGTGCTGTCTATAGAAAACTCACCTAAAATGTCATGACAAAGATACATTAGAAGGAATGGAAAAATTAGACCAAGTAAACACAAATCAAAAGAAAGCAGAGAGTGACTACATTAGCATCAAAAAAGAATTTGACCTTTTTCTCCTACTAATTTGTCAGTTGTTAATTTGGGTGCTTGACCAGCCTGAGAAAAATCCAGAGGAATAGGGGAATTTTCAATACAATGATCTGATTTTTCAGATCATTAAGATCAATGATCTTAATTTTCTTCAACCAGAAAAAAATCAGATAAAAGAAAATAATATGAAGAGAAAACAAGAAATATAAAAAATGAGAAAATCAATGAAACTAACACCCTAACACAATTGACCAGAGAAAATACGAAATATCAATATTAAAAATGAAAGTGGGTATATATGGATGATTTATATAGACATGAAAATAGTAAGAGGATTTTATGAACAATTTTTCCAGTAAATTTGACAACTTAATAGGATGAATAAATTACTTACATGAAAGACAAAATCCACCATACCAAACTAAAGAAAAAAAAATATTACCTAAATAGCATTATGTACACTAAATTGAATAATTTAAAAATCACTAAAGTGAAGTCATTGTTATAAACCTACTCAAAAAGAAAGCTCTAATCATTTAAGAAAGAAATAATTCCAATTCTACGTTAAGTCTTTCTTGAAAATAGAAGCGGTGGAATCACTTTCCAATTCATTATATGAAAGCATCATCCTGATACAAAAGTAGATAAAGATATTATATGAAAATTATAGACAAGTATTCTCATAGTTATAGGCACAATTATCTTCAGCAACATCTTAGCAGATCAAATCCAACAATATATTAAAGGAGCATCTATCTTTAAAAAGTGGGATTTATTCTGGGAATGAAAGGATGGCTCAGGATTTGAAAATCCTAATAAAGGTAAATCACCATATCAACATACCAACTAAAAGAAACCATATGGATAATACAAAGCAATCATTTGACAAAAGTCAATTCCTGATCAGGACAGAAACTCTCACCAAACTAGGAATAGAAGGGGACTTCCTTCTATTTGGAAAGGCATTGGAAAAAAAAAAAAAAAACACTACAGTTAATGTTATATAATGATCAACAACTGAACACTTTCTCTCTAAGATCAGGAAACATGGCTAGAATGTCTGCTTCCACTACTTCTCATCAACGCAGCACTAGAGGTACCCGCAAATAAAATAAGACATAAATAAAAGACATAAACTTTCAAAATGAAGAACTAAAACTCTTATTTGCAGATGCAATGATTATGTAGAAAATCATCAAGAAACCTATGAAGGCCTACACAAAAAGATAACTTTAAAAGGCCCAAAAGTTCAGTACTGAATCAGTTTTGCTTTTATGTACTGGAAATGCAACAATTGAGGAATTAAATTTTCTAAATATACATTTTACATTTAGGGATAAATTTAACAAATTATATGCAAGATACACACAGAAAACTACCATATGTTTCTGAAAGAAATTAGCTAGAACATAAATAAATGCAATGATATTTCATATGCAAGAATCAGGAGACTCAACACTGTCAAGGTATCATTTCTCGGGCCTCCCCTGGTGGTGCAGGAGGTTGAGCACAGCGCTGTGGAGCTGTCCACAGCCTCTGCAGCATGAGTTCTATCCTGGCCGAACTGAGAGATACCCACATGGCGCGGCAGACCTCTCCTGTCTCGCCCACTGCTCCCCTCAGCAGTGTATTTCAGTTAGTCTGCCTGTTCTGTTCCCTGCTCTGTCTCTGGTGAATCCTCTCACCCTCCCTCACATTTGGACTGTACACCAGTTCTTGTATGCATGAATAAATAAATATTAAAAAAATATATCATTTCTCCCCTAATTCATTTGCAAATCCAGTGGAATTCCAATCAAAATTCCAACATACTGTTTGGAGATGTTGACAAACTAATTTTCAAGTTTATATGGTAATGCAAAGAATTTAGAATATCAAAAATCGTTTTAAAAAAGGACAATATTGAAAAATTTAACATTATGTACTGATGCAGGATAAAATTACAGTAATCAAGATAGTGACATCCTGGCAAAAAGACAGTCATATCGATCAATTGAACAAAAAGAGGCCAAAGCAGACCTCCCTTTTATAAGGTCACGTGCTTTTCTAGAAAGGTGCCATATAATTTAATAAAGAAAGGCTATATATTTCAACAAATATGACTGAATAGTTGAATACTCATTTGCAAAAAATTAAACGCAGGACTTTTTGTCATATCACATGAAAGAATTTACTGGAAATGAACCACAAACCTAAATGTAAGAACTAAAACTATGACACTTCTAGAAGAAAATATAGGAGAAAAATTTTTATGACATTAATTTAAACAAAGATTCCTTAGATGGCCACGAAACATAGTAGAAAAAAACTGGTAAGTTTTTTTGCTCTTCAAAACATGCTGTTAGCAAAGGGAAAGACGGCGACACAAGCTATAGGATCATATTGGCAAAAACACACAGTTAATAAAGGACTATGATATATAAAGAGTATATAAAGAATGCCTACAACTCAGAAATGAGCTGATAGAAACATGGGCAAAAAGTCTGAACAGATACTTCATCAAAATGAAAGTAAACCATAGTGCAGTACCATTACACACCCAGAGGAACAGTTAAAA